TCTTGGTATAATAACACTAGAAGATGTCATTGAGCGGGACTTCTTTCCTTGGATATCCTTAGTCTTAAAGTTCTACAAAGGGGTGGCAAACCTGAGGAAAAAGTTTATGCAAAGAAAATCCTGCCACTTGTTGAGAGACATCATCTTTTACTAGTGACCCTGCTTCTAGCCAATGCTGCTTCAGTGGAAGCTATGCCAATATTTATGGATAGAATMTCTAACCCTATCATAGCAATCTGTGTTTCTGTCACTGCTGTTTTGTTCTTTGGAGAGTAAGTGTCAATATACATATCACTTGAAATATTGAACACTAATTAAGACATGCATATAGTATCATACCTGATTGTTTTTGCAGGTTAACTTAATATTGGTATTGTTATTGTTTGTTTATTGTTTAGTTTGTAATCTTATAGTGAATTGATTTAAACTTTGATCTTTTTTATGAAATATTTAGAGTTGTTCCACAGGCTCTATGTACTCGTTATGGCCTGAAGATTGGGGCAACTATGGCACCGTGAGTATTGGAAAATTTACTGATATTGTGAATTGTGCGGTTCAGTCATCTTGTTTCAATGAAAAATTGTTACCTTTGTTGAAAGTATTTCAAGTGCCAAAAAGTTACTGTATACTTTTTTCATATTTTACAGGTTTGTGAAGTGTTTGATGATTCTTTTATTTGTAATTGCCTGGCCAATATCAAAACTGCTTGACTGTCTTCTTGGCCATGATCATTCAACCTTTTTCAGACGAGCAGGTAGCCAGTGGGGGGTTTGGATGCAGGGAGTACACACACGGTGTCCTGGCAACTTGTGCCATTTATTCTTTGATACCTTCCCCTAATTTGTGTTAAACCGATTTTATCTTTATGTACAATGCATCCACCATTGATGAAAGTAATTTTTGTTTGCTGTGTGTCATTCAGAGCTTAAAGAGTTGGTTGACCTTCACAAAGAATCTGCTGATGGAAATGAAGACCCCTTACAAGATGATGAAGTTATGATTATTCAGGTAACAAAATGTAA